TGGGAAGGGCCGGGCGTCTCCGCAGCGCCGGGAGCGCTCGGGGGCCTTTTCCAGGAAGAGTCCGCCCGTTTCCAGCTGTGCCTGGGCCAGACGCGCAGGGCGGGAGGGAAGGAGATACCTCCCGAAAGTCCCAGTTTCTCGAGGCGTAGCAAGGCCGCGGCCCCCACCGCGCTGGTACCCCGCCTGGCGCCTCTCCGCCTCCTGCAGGGAGCTGGAGAGTCGAGACTTGCGGGGCAAGGCAGGAAAAAAGCAGTTTGGATATAAGCAGGCTACAAGGCGCGCCGAAAGGGGCGGTAGCAAACTGCTGTCCCCGGGAGACGCTCTGCAGTTGCATCCGCTGCGGAGGTATCCAGCGTGCACGCTGCTGCCTGGATCCTTCCCGTAATTACAGGGGCGGGTGGTAAAAATCAGTGCGTGCTACTGCCAAACTCTGGCGGTCTGGCCTCTGCCTCACCCCCGCACGTACCGTTTCCTCGCTCCGGCTGGAGCCGCGCACCAGTGCTGCGGCTTAGTGAAGAGCTGCAGGCAGGGAGGGCGCAGAAAGTTGTGCAATACAAACCGGTTCCCGGACACGCAGCGGGCTGAACAGCCTCGCTCCTCCTTACACAAGCCTGCAGCAGCTCTCGGGAGCAGAGAGGTTGTTTTTCCTCTTGAGTACATCACTTAACGAGTTGTTATAACGGAGCACGGGCCAGAGGAACGCCGGTGTGCTGCAGCACACGCGGGTGTCTTCGCACCGCCACGAGGTGGAAAAACTGACCCCCTCCTCAGGAAGGGCTGCCACTTCCTCGGTGCAAACTCCCAGTGCAGCTTGGGCGGCGTTAGCGGCACAGGGACGCGCGGAGGGCTGGCGGCACTGCACACCCTCCGGCCCTCCCTACGTCGGGCAGGCGACGCGCTGCTGAGCGCCGTCGCGCTGAGAGCCAAAACTCGACCGCCAGATCCCAGACATGCCGTGTCCGATTCACACCCATGTCAGCGTCGTGCAGGGTGACAAAGCGCTTGCTCGCTTTAAGTACTTGGCATTTCACCGACGGTCCCACAAAGGCTGGATGAGCAACTGCTTTATATTGAAGCATCATTTATTAATCATCTGTATCAGGCACACATCTGCTCAGCAATGGTGCATGACAGGATACAACAGTTCACATCTAATCTGAACAGAGGCACGTGTTTACAGGATCGGGCACGGCACGGGGAAGTATACTGAACACTCTGAAAGGACAATGGAAGTAAAACGCAGTGCTTAACGCTTTGTCCTTAGGAGGCTGGAGACCAGTGAGAAAAAAATTGGGATCAGAGCTGACTTGCGCTTCAGCCAGTGATTTAAAAACCAATTACTCTCCTTGCATATACTAAATAGGTGGAAGTGCAAAGAACTCCCTCTCTCATCACTCCCCCCCACACATCAGTGGCGTTAGTCTAAAACGGCTGCACTTTGCGCAGGAGAAACGTTCAGACTGAGCCATGGGGCATCTCTCAGCAGGGCACACCAGAGAGCGAGGCAGGGCAGGAGCCCGCTGCTGAGAAAAACATCTAAGCCCAGCCAGAAGGCAGCCAACAAAGGCTTTTGGCAGCACGCTGTTATGCCTCTGTCACTAACAACAGGAAAACACCAGAAAGGTCCCTCAACGTGGCTTGGGTAAGTGCTTCTTTGCTGGCCACCAAGCACCTCCCCTTGAGGAGGTGCAGGGTCCTTCTGCTGCAGTGTCCGGTTCCCCTCCCCGCCGAGCCATCGATAACCTGCTGGCCACAGATGCCACACGCCCCCAGAAAGGGGCCCTTCATCCCACCACCCTCCAACCACTACCAGGTGGTATTAGCGGGGGTGGGATGACAGATCTCAGCACAGCCACAGAAACCAACCCTCAGAAACCATCAATTTGCAAGTGCAAATTGACTCACCTCCGAGGCAGCCGTTCTTCAACTGGCAATGATCTTTTCTGCTGAATCAGCTTTTAGATGCAAATGCTACCAAGTAGTAGTTCAGCTCCAACATTTTTCCCGTTCACACACGTGCTCCGAGGTGCCAACGGTGGCACACTCCTAACGCTGCATCTGCGGTGTCAACAAAACACGGCCACCACGCTCCACGCACCACGCTTGGCCACACGGCCAAGCGGCCCCCTAGCACCACCACGCTCTTCAACACATCCACAAGCAGCGCTAAGAGCAAGCCTCAGCATCACAAATTTTGTAACAAGCGAGCATTTGCCAGGCAATCCTGGAAGTCCTGCGCTGGTGGAGGGCAACAGCCCCTCTGTGGTCTCGGCATCCCGTTCATCATCATCATCGGCAGCTGCTCTGCAGGCTGAACCTGCCCCACACACGCCTGTACCAGGACAGCAGCTCAGGAACCGCTGGCACGAGCATCCCACTGCAGGGAGCCCCAGCCCTGCTCTCCCTAGCCGCATTAGGGCAGTAATCCCCGGCCTTATCCTCTGGCAGTCCTGGGGCCGGCCAGGGCTTGCATAAGGGTACTTGCACAGTGGGTCAATGAGCTACTGGGTTTGAGATGGGGAAGCCTGAGAGAAAGCTGGCCGGCCGCGTGCCTAGGTCATACCCAGCTGCTCCAGAGCAGCCACGTGCAAAGCGGAGACACGGCCATGCTGCCACACAGCGGCCTCAGCCCTCTGAGCCATTGCTGCCCCTTTGAGAAGGACTGAGGTGCCCGCTGTGCTTGCTCTCACGTACTTTCTCCCGTCATGCAGATGGGAGGCCAGTGTTACCTTAATAACCCGTGTTAAATGGGCGCTAAACTTATAATGGGGAGATCAGAAGGTACACCAGCACTGCCACCTCCAGAGCGGTTTCGGTTGTCCATGAACACAAGAGATGCTCAGGGAAGGGCAGGCAGATTTCTTCCCACCTTCAGCTGGGTAGGGGTCTGCCCTCAGCTTTAAGAGCTGAGGAAAACCTCAAGCAGAGACACCGCTCAAAGTCTTGCCGTATCCAGGGGTTTGATCTGTCATCCTTTTCCTCCCTAAACCAGCCTCCTCCCACAAAGGCAGCCTGCTGATTTTCATATGAGCTCCGATGGGTGCTATGCTCAGGGCGAACACCGGAGCCCGGCTGCTGCCAGGTCTGAAAGCACCACGCACACCGCCACAGCTGCTAGGCCAGGACCACACTTGCACCCGACTCCTGTGTCCTCTCAAGACGCTGCACTGCAGGAACGTCAAATTGCCAAGGCCACGTCAGGAACACGCTGGCGGTTCCAGATGCAAATAACCGGCCAGATACAGCCTGCGAGCAGACTTGCCTGCAGGATCGGGCACTGCTGCACTGGGGAAAGACATCTGCCACCCCCACACCAACTGTGGTCGCTGAGGACACAGGCCAGCAGCCCAAGGAGTACAGCTGCCCTCAGGCCCCGAGCAACATTTTAATGCTGCTTTAAGTAGTTCTGGAGAAGGGCGGCTTTTGGAAGGAAGCTGCATCAGCGCAGACTGAGAAACCCAGCAAGCAACAAAGCGGAAAGCCCCAAGGCTTCTGCACCTGTAACACGCAGTATTTTGGCAACAAAGCCAGCCAGGCCTGTCCAGGCACACATCAGGACGTATGTATGCACTCAGCCTCATCACCAGGCGTGCTTTAGATACAATCTAGAGGCAAGAACGCAGGTTTTAGCAGGGTTGAAACTACACCGCCACCAACTACAGCCTACTACAGCCACCAACATCTCAGTGAGACACTACAGCAAGCTTCAGCCTGACAGAAAAGCCTTTGAAGGCAGATGGGGTGGGAAGATGATAAAATGCTTCCACCTCTTAGGAGTTTCTGAAGCTTCCCGTACCCCCACAGCCAGGGACTGAAGCCAGTGACAGGACAGCGAGATCAACATCTTCAGCTCTTGCTGGGGGCGGGGAGAGCGGGAAGCAGGAGCAGCAGCTTTGGGTCTTTGCTTGACTGAGTGCTCAAATGAGGTCACTGAGCATCCAGAGAGAAAAACTCATGGCAAGGATTTGCACCTTGCAGGTTGATTTAATTCCTATTAAATCTGCTAAACAAAACCCCAGCCAAACTCTTTAGTGGAACTGCTCTGCTACGTTGCACCAGTAGGCTCTAGCTACTATCTAAAGGTTAATCCTGGCAGGCTCTTACCTTTAGCTGCAAATCCAAAATACAACTCTGATTTAAAAGCAGATATGTTTGAAAAAAGAGAGACAAGCTCACAGTCCTAGAGAAATGCATCTGAGGAGGTGAACTTCAGCATTGTGCCGGGGTGCAAATGCAGCCTCTCTGCTCATGTACCGCTCTAGCACGACGGATAGACCTCTCCAAGCTCACGCACTGCACCCAGGGGAGCTCGTCACATTCCTGTGCGGGCTGGCACTCAGCTTGGCAAGAGCTCTTGGGTCTTTTGCCAGGTGACAGGCACGCATGCAGCCCATTTAATGTTGCTAACAGGATGGCATTTAACACGTGAATTTCTGAGTCTAAGTGCTTTATCTCTGGCTCAGCCTGCCAGAGACAGCAGCAACTCAGGGCTGAGGAAGCAGTCAATATTTACTGATATTTAGAGTACTTAAACAGTTTAAATGCTGCTTTTCCACCCAGAAAAGAAAAACCTCGTCTGACTGATCATCCAGTTCCTCCCAGACACGAATGGTGCTTCACTGCAAGGACAACCAAATTAAAAGCAAACGAATCATATACCCCATCTACGTGAAGTTGCTGTAGAGCAATGTACACCCAAGTACCATCATTCTGGAAAGAGTCTGATCAGTAAATCATACCTTAAAAGCTCATTGTGGGATTCTCCTGGAAAATCTACCTCCTCACAGGAAAAAAAACAAAAAAAAAAGAAAAAAAGAAAAAAAAAACCAAAAAGATTGGTCCTTCCTGGGGAAGTTTGGGCAGGGCTAGAGTAAACAGGACTCCACACCAGCACTAAGAGGAACTCGGACTCGTGAAATGCTACAGATACCATTTCTTCTGATGCACCACACACCTGCAGACAGGGTGAAAAAAAAAAAAAAAAAAGCAAGAGGAACTTAAGTGCAGGATTTCAGCAAGTCCAGCAGGATGTAGGATGTTAACTGCAAGGTAACTCAGGTATTGCCCCAGGGAGGCTCAGAGACAGTATGGGCAGCTACCCCCAGATATTTCAGCTGGAGAAAGGAATTCATGAGAACTTATGACTGGAGGGCTCTCCTCATCACTAAAACTGGTACCAGGCCTTCGAGCCAAGAGATGCTGTTCCCCCTTTGCATAAGCTGTTCCACGCTGTGTTCCCCAAGAGCAGAACCGCTAGCCCCTGCAAAGAGGGGCTCAGCTGGGTGGATGGGTTTGCCCGCCCCTGGAAAGCACAGCCACCGGGCCCCCGGCTGCCCTGTGCTAGCTGCTGCGTTAGCCAACCTCTGCCCCTGCAGGAAAGCCCCACGAGTACGGAA